CGAGGCCCCTGGCTTGTAATATGAAGCTTGTATTATTTTATTTGTGTCTAGAGTTGTGTTGTGATACCTTCCCGTGAGTCCCTGATCTTGATTGTATACATTTGCGTGTATAATTACTGTACGATTAAATCGGGGGCGTCTCACCTCACGAACCGGGACTGATGCCCCCTTTAGTCCCGTTTCGTGAGTGAACCGGGATTAATGCCCCTATGATGGCCTCAACCAAAGCCCTGTTTTCTACTAGTGAGCAGAATTTTTTTTAGAAACTAATAACAATAACAGTAGCGAGGGGTATGTACTTAGCAACAGGGTGCGCTTAGCAGTAGTGCCTTTTAAAATTAAGCACTACAACTATTAGCAGTAGCGCTGATTTGTAGCCCGCTACTGCTACCCATTTATAGCAGTAGCGCGGGTTAACACGCGCTACTGCTAAAAGTTAGCTGTAGCGACGTATTAGTAGCGCGGCACCCCGCTCTACTGATAGCCCTTGACCTGCGCTACTGCTAGGCTTTTCCCTAATGGTGTACATTCTAAAAATCCAATTTGGCTATAGGGAGCACAAGCTCCAGTAGGCCCAACATGTATTTTGCAAGGGTCAAAAATAAAATTGGATGTGTTCATTGTCACACCAAAATGCAACCTATAAATTTTTAGGGGAAAAGTTTAAGAATTTTGAACTGTACAAAGAAAACAAGTCAGAACGAGAAATGTTACCTCCAAATGTTACATTTAGTTTTGTTTTTTCATCGACGAAACACTGTTATTCTGTTTCGCATGAAAATTGTCAAGCACACTTGTTACAACGACATGACCATCTATATCCCCTAAAAAAACATGACCATCTATAGAAAAAATAGAATTCAATATTTTTTGCTACTTATTTTGAAGTTATTGTTCATATACTGGAGTATATGCTCTCCATTCTTGTTTTTGTTTCGAGTTCTTAATAGACGTGGTCAACATGCACCCATCCGGTTCTTCTTTCACCTTGCTGTATTTCTGTTCATCCCCGGCATCACTATTCCTTCTTCGGTCCATACCTTGTTGTGCCAGTTGACTCTACTGTTGTTCCGTCGTTGTTTTGGAATAATAAGCGATGAACACGACAGAATCAAAATCCCACGACACTCCGTGCGAACCCGAATCACCAAAAGAAGCATCCCTTCATGGACATCTCTTGTCATAGCAGCACACTACTTCCTAAGGGAGGGGGATTGTACGTCCATGGAAGAGTTGTTGCCAGCAAGTGCATCTAGGGGGCCGATGTTTATCTGTAGCTGTGGAGTGGGGTGGGGGGAGCGGGGGTGTTCTGGGGTAGTGGAGTTCGGCCATGGGGTGGAGCGTGTCAGGTGTGTGTGGGTTTTCACCCTGTTTCCCTCAAAGTAATGGTTCAACTTCAAGCTCACGAGCAGTTATTGTTATATTGCAATGGTGAAACTCTTCCCTTTTGTTGTTCTTGAAAATAAAAACCTTCATCCATCAATTCTAAGAGCATCTCCAGCCGTTCGGCCCCCCCGGCGCCGAAAAAGAGCGGCCTGGGGGCGAACTGGCGCTAGATTGGCCCATGGGGTTCGTTTCTCCCCTGGCACGCCCTCAGGTGCCGTCCCCCAAGGCGCCCCATATTCGAACTCCATCATTCCCGCTCAAAAAAACCATAAACCAGCGATCAACGCAATAGTTCGGCGATTCCGCGCCACAGTTCGGCGATCAAATGAAAGGACACGCAGTAGTTGGGCGTACAAAAAAGGAAGGACGCGGAAGCAGTACATCAAACGTCGAGCTCAACCTCCGGCGGTGTCGTCGGCGTACGCGGGCTGGGAGGAGTCGGAGCGGCTTCCGGGCTGGTTGGCCCGACGGAGGCATCGTCGGTGGGGTTGGGCGTCGCAGAGGCATCATCCTCGGTCGGGCTGGGTGGCGGCATTGGCGTCGCCGGTATCTGGTTCAGGATGAGGCCTCGCTCCGCCAAGAACCACGGCTTGAGCTTCTCATCGCCGCTCTGGAGCATGTCCGCGCTGCCCATCAAGAAGGCAAGGTCGTTGGTCCTCTTCTTGGCGTCTTGAGCTTTGAGTTTCGCGGCGGCGCTGGTCCGGAGCAAGTCGAGTTAGACGGCGTTGTTTGTCATCAAAACAGCCCACCTCGCCTCAGTTTTCTCTTCTCGCTGGGCGGCCCTGGTCTTGGCGTTGGCGAGGCAGTGCTCGATGGGCTCTTGCACGCACGCGGCAGCCGACTCGGCGTGCTTCGCCTTCTTGGCACCTTTGTTGTCGTCCGGGCGTCCGTCGGCCGCGCCCGGGGTCGGCGCGTCCGGCTTGTACGTCTCTTTGGCCTTGACGAGGGTGCGTCGGACGCCCACCCACTTGTCGCACTTGTCGATCCGCTTGACGACGTGGAGGTACTAGAACTCTACATCGCTGTTGTCGTCATGGAACATGGCGAACATGCGTAGCAGCTGCGCTGAGGAAAAGAACATCAGTCGGCGCTAGAGGCGCCAGGGCGCGCACACGGTGAAAGGCAACAGTAGGACGGCGTGCTATACCTGATCCTCGACGCTGGTGCCGCTCTCCGGACGAGCCGCGACCTCCTCGACAATCCCATGACATTTGTTGCATGCCGTTTGAATGAGTCCCCAATGGTTTGACATCGCCTTGGACCCGCGCTTCATGTGCACGCCTTTGAAGTAGGGGTCGACGAGCTTGCGCTCATCGAACTCGGCCTTGATGCGCGCCCAATACGTCTCGATGCTCTGGTTCGTGCCGGTGACCGGGTCGAGGCAGACGACCTTCCACGCTTCGGCGAGACACTCATCTTCCTTGGACGCCCACTTGATGCGCGGCTCGCCGGGCTTGGCCGCCTTCTTCTTCTTCTTTTTGCCTTTCCTCGTCGGCGCCGGCTCCTCCTCCTCTTCTTCCTCGTCCTCTGGCTCTTCCTTGTCGTAGTCGAGCTCGTCGTCCATGTCGCCGAGGTCAATTGAGGTGTCTTGCACTACTAGGAAAAACACTACCAGTAGCGTAGGTGTTTTGCATACCAGTAGCCGTGAACCCGCGCTACTGCTACGGCGCTACAACTAAATTTTAGGAGTAGCGCGTTTTTATCCCACACTACTGCTAAAAAAGTTACTAGTAGCGTGTTCCACCCGCGCTACTGCTATTACGTACACGCGCTACCAGTAATGAAATAGTAGTAGCATTGGTAAACTACAAACGCTACTAGTATCCTATATACTAGTAGCGCCCAGTTCCTCCCCACGCTACTAGTAACTTATTAGGAATTAAAAAAATGAAGCAATTCCATTTTGTCACACAATTGTCGTATCTACCATCAGACAATTTCTCATTGTAGCTAGCGGCAACTCATGTATAATTCCTATCACATAGTGTTGTGTGCCTAGTCAATGTGCGAAGCCTGCCCGGCCTGATCACGTGGCCTACAGCTGCGACGAAACACATCGAGCAGCCTCGCGAGCCACACTTGACCGACGGCGGCCGACGCCTTGAGTTGTGACGCCGTCACGTCCCTCGCCGTGACCCGCAGCTCCAGCAGGCCTCGATCAATGTCGTGCTCGTGCCTCACCACCAGCGGACGAAGGAATCCATCGGCAGCCACGACACCATCCAGTCCATGAACCTCTTGACGACTGTCAGCGTCGCCACCACAAGCCTGCAGCATTACCAACAGAGATTTAGAAACTTCAGATTCTTCAGAAGAATGACATGGAAAAACAATATGGTACATGTCGATGCCAATGTGCTACAATTTTTTTCCGAGATTCTTATTTAAGCCATAATGCACAACTTAACTACACACTGAAGCAGCACATAGCTACTTCCATGACAAAAGATAACGCAAAAGATTAGAAGCAATTCTGTTGTGTTGGAAGCCCTAAAAAGAAACAGCACCTATGAAGCACATAAGGAGTTAGAGGCATAATTCTTTTGGTAATTTTCTATCTATCCATTTTTCTAAGTAGTCACTTCAATACCTTGATATCTTTCACGTTTTCAAAGATAACAAAGTCCATGAATCTACTGTTGGTAGAGCATAGTGACTATACAAACTGAAGCCTGAACATATATACCTACCAGTTCACAGACTTGACAAATGAATTCTGAAGTTAATGGGATTTTCCTCTTTCCTGAAGAAATCATTTGGTCTGCTCTTTGTTGGTACTACCTAGAAGAATTAGAACTACAAAAAAATGGCATCACTGAACAAGGGTAGATAGACAAGATCTATCTTTTTCCTCAAGTGGGAATTTAATTTATTAAAAAAAGACTAAAATTAAGTTTCATATATACACATAGTAGGGATTTACAAGAGAGTATAGCAGTAGCACCAAAACCGAAACAGTAAGAATGACGTCAAAACAGGAGATTCGGTAAAAAGAGTCATGTAAAAATGCTTACTGAGGACCGGATACTTACAGCTTTGCATAGCCCTTTAGACCAAATGCAAGGGCTTTGTCATAAAACCGTACACAAGCTTACGGGCAATAAATCTGTCACATACCTACAAAACTGAAGTTAAATGACAAAATACAATGATTCTAAGTGATGAATTGGTGTTGCACTTACACAATGATGCTAAGTGCGGAGTTTGGTGTTGCTCTGTGGAAGCAATTGGGTAAAGTTGGTTGTACAGAAGAGAAGCCCTGCCATTCTATCAAAATGATTTTGTTACGAATCAAAAGAGGAGGTTGAGAATTTGTAATACCATACTTACTATATTATCACATAAACTGCCCACTACCCAAGGAATTAATATCAATACTACATGGCTTATTCTAATCTACAAACTCTATTCCTAAAAAAGGTACTGTCATGTTTCTAATGCTGGCACCAGTACCCACACTAGGAAAAGGGAGAACTGCAGTGTTTGTCCATTATAAACAACTGAAGAAACAAAGTAATAAACAGGATAACGGGAACAAACTTGCATATATAGTATTATTTGATAAAGTTTCTATGATTCAGGCAAACATTCTAAAAAGTGCATTAAGCAGACCTTTATAAATTCCTCAAAAGAAACTCCTTGGCCAAATCAGAACGTGTTACTCCTTGTTGCCACTGTGCCAGTAGCATTGGATGATGATTCCTGCAGGATATGCATAATAAACTTATTTGTGGACAGAGTAACTTCAAGTCAGAATCAATTTCGGTTGAAGAGTTCAAGATGAGGCATGCCTGTTCCTTATTTGCAGTAGCAGATCCATAGCTCAAGATAACAGAAACATGAATACGGGCAGCGACAGCTGAACCGAGTGGCGCAGCTTCCATGATTGAAGCCACCAATTTGTCAAGCCGGTTGAGATCCATCTTCATCCCTAATTTCCCAAGCTTGCTGGATGTGTTCTCCATTGCGGCATGCACAAACCCCAGATCGAATTCGGACGCATCCTGGACATTCCCCTCTGCAAATCCCAGCAGAATGAACGCCCGGTCGATTATTCTAGTGTCCTTAGAACTGCTGCCAGAACCTGACTGCAAGGCAAAATCCTCAGTTCCGAAAACGTGGAAGCCAAGATTCGTCGAGAATGAGCTAAGACTGGGGCAATTGCTGACCATAGCAGCTCGCAGCCCCATGAAATAGAAGCAACATATACAGCAGCAGAGTCAGCCCTAGCATTTACAATGGATACACTGACAGTAATCAAAGCAAAAGATCACACACACATCGAACCTCTCGGATAGCTTGGGGACTACTAGCTCCTGCGGATCCACCCGGGCAATTTCCCCATCCTAACGTCAAACAAATAAAATCAGCATCGCATACTCAGACCCTCTCTGCAACTACTTCGCCTAGACACAAACCCGGAGAGCGGGATCGCACCTTGACAGGGTAGAGGGCATCGTACACGTCGAGCAGCTGCGCCAGCTCGAGAATCAAGTCGTTGTTCCTGTCCCCTCCATCCTCTGGTTTGGGAGACAAGACCAGAAGCCTCTCAGTTTAATGGGGGGCAAGCAAAGCAGAGCAACCGCGCAGAGCGCGAGAGGGGGTGGGGGCGGTGTGGTACCGTTGACCGCGGGAGTGCGGACGGAGTGGAAGCCGCAGGAGGCGATGGAGGCGAATGCGTCGAGCTGGCCCTTCCCCCCTCCGCCCCCGGTGAGCAGCGCCTCGTGGCCGGCGGTGTACAGCACCAGCGCCCGGCTCGGCTTGTCCGCCATTGCTCCGCCGGCCGACACACACTGCTTCCCCTTTCCCTTTCCCTTCTCGCTCTGTCTCCTTATTTCGGAGAAGAACCGGGAGGGGATCCCGGCGACAGAGGAGAGGAGAGGAGGTGGAGGGAATCTGGATCGGGGATGGGTGCAGTGTGGGGTTGAACTGGGATGGTTGGTGGGTGGATAATGGATCGGGGGTGGTCCGGTGTGGGACTGACGGACTGTGCTAGCGGTAGTGCAGGGTGTCTCACCGGCGCTACGGTTATCCCATTAGCAGTCGCGTAGGTACGACCCACGCTATTGTTATGGTTTGTCCGTGAGGCACGGTCAAGAATTATTTACCAGTAGCGTGCCCCAAAAAAATTAACGCTGCTGCTAAGCCATACCAGTAGCAATGCTTTGTACCCAGCGCTACTGGTAATTACCAGTAGCATGGGGACACAAACAAACGCTACTGGTAAACTTCTATGTATAACAGTGGCGGAGCCATCGCCCAGCGACCCCGGGCACTTGCCCAGGCTCGCTAGGCCTCGACAGCAGCGATCGATCCAAATTAATGAAGCGCTAAACATGTTCAGTAGCTTGTTTACCCGGTCAAAAATCAATTGGGCCTTCGATTCTCATATTTTCACAGCCCAACAGCAGTCTGCAGCCCATGCGGATACAGAAGACAGACACGCGAAGGAATACGTGGGACTCCTTTCTCTTCGTTCCAACACAAGCGGCGAGCGCAGGGACTGGCGGCTGGCGCTAAAGCCCTAGACGGCTAGACCCACGGCCGGCGGCCAACGGACGCAAGGCGCACTAGGAAGTCTACTCGTCCGGTCGTCCCTCAACCCCCTCCTTCCTCCCATTCGCGGCTTCGACTTCGGCTTCGTTCAGTAAGAAACTGAGAATCCTCCATCAAAATTAGGGTTAGCCGGCTACGGATCCCTCGTCTCTGAATAATTTGTTCTTGCAAAATTAATTCGATGGAGAGCTTCGTGCGCCAGCTCACATCTCGCTGCACTTCTCTACTAGAGAAAAGAAAATAGATTACAGATTACTCTCTGCTTATTTTCTGGTCAGGGCCTCCGAAAGTTTTCATCCTCATATAATTTTTCTCTTGTACAAGTATTTATTTTAGGCAATTAATCTGTAGTAGAACTAAATAACTAGCAACTGTTTTGTACATCTGATTTGTATTGGAGAAATTTGTTTGTCATGTTCGTTGAACCCTATATTAAATTTAGGGAATTTTTCATTGGGAACGATCATGAATTCATGACTAGAGATAAATTGTCTTTGTTCGCTGCTGGAAACTAGAAAATCGAAGTATATAAGAAGAGGGCAACTTGTATTCATGCAGTATTTATTACTTTCTAGTTGCTTACTCGGAATACAATATTTCTTTGATGCAAGTAGTTTTGTACTATGAACTTGTTACTTGTTGTAGCTCATTTATTATTTACTTGTTTAACAACTAACTTCAAACTTTACCATTAAATTTCAGATATGAGGAGGTCGAGCAAGCATTGAAAATGTGAAATGTGAATGGTGTGCAACCGGAAATAGAAGTGGAGGCACAACCACCTCGTAACATTGCCAATGACTTTAATCCAAATGAGATTGAGCGTGATTCATGAAAGAAGAAACAAATTTTTGAGTATCCACCTAATATTCAAGACCAACTAAGGAGAGCATATGTATTGAAGGGCCCAATGCAACCAGATTTGGCTAAATTTCCTCATACTGAATTTGGAAGTTTACCGCAATGAGCTCTCAGAAGGGGCATTTGCCTCGTGATTTTCTTTAGTGCAGTGTTGGTACTGTTTCTTCTGACCATCTCTATTCTTGCAAGCTTTCGATTTTGAATATATTCACATCTCACAACTAAATTTATTTTAATTGCGAATCTTTTTTTTTATATTGTAGTGCCTTCTAAGACTTTGGCAACATGGCGAGTTTGCCTCTATGCAAGATTCATTTTATGTTTTTCTTTTGGCAAAGATGAACAAGTGAGAGATGCTTTTGACCGCGGTGGAAGAAATTGCACAATCACATCTGGTGACATATGGTATGGATAGCTTTAATTTGTTGGCAACATGGTGAGTTTGCCTCTATGCAAGGTTGGTTATGTATCTTTTGTTGTCATGTCTCAACTTTATTTGGCCTATAAACTGGATATTGATATATTAGCTCACTTTAAAAATTAATTTTGTATGACAATTATGGTTATGTTTTCACTTCATTATTAATGGAGATTTGTGATTCAAAAGTTTGGTGGTACATTATATGTTGTGTATCAGAATACCTGATTTTTTATTTCAAGATTATACACATAGTCTCAACTTGCCCAGGCTCCACAAAAGTTCTGGCTCCGCCACTGATGTATAAGCATTTTACTAGTAGTGTTGGGTGGTGAACCCGGGGGAAGCGGCGGCGGCAGCCCAGCCGGCTGCGATGATGTATTCCATGTCGGCCTTCGTCGCGTCGGCGTCGCCGAGATGCGACGAGGAGGAGGACTGCGAGTAGAGGCCGCGGCGAAGAGGTGGCGTCGGGAAGGCTGCGTAGTCCGGCGGCAAGTACGTGTACAGCGAGTACTACACGCCGGCGAACGCGGGCGAGGGAGTGCGCTGGACTGGGCGTCCATGGGGAAGGTGATGTTGGGGTTGAAGCCCCCATGGGCGTCGCCATCGGCATAGCCCGGCGACGGCGTGCTCCATGGGTGCGGCGACAACGAGAACCCGGTCGGAGAACCGACGCTTTGCTGGCTCTAGACCGCGTACGGGTGCCCACTGGGCGGATTCATCATCGCCGTGCAGGACGCCTCCGCTTGTTCGGCCGCATGCTCCGCCGCCGCCACAGCCGCAGCGTGCGCCGCTCTCTCCCCGGCCTTCTGGGCCCTGTTGTGTCTGTCGGCGGTGACGGCCTCCCGGCGCTCCACATCCGCCTTCCACTCAGTGTTGCTCATGCCGGGGGGCTTGGAGAGCGGCGCCCTCGGCTTTCTTTGCTTCGGATGGGCGACGGCGGCGGCTGTGGGATCCGTCGCGATGCGTGGCATCACGTACTTCTTCAGCGGCATGGCGGGCAGAAGGGTAGGGAGGAGGCGGGGGGTTTGGCAGGAGGAATGGAGAAGAGAGGGAAGGCGAGGGGGGAAGCAGGAGGAAACGGCGGGAAAAGGGCTTCCGGTCGCCGACAGAGCGGCCCCACGCCGCTTTTCGCTTCCGCCGGCGCGCCCAGGCAACACCCGGCCGCTTGGGTTCGGGGCGGGAACACCGGCTCTGGATTTCGCCCAAACCGGCGCTAAACCAGATCCTGGGGGCGCGACTGGGTCAATTTTCGGCCACCGGCGCTAAAAATTCGCCTGGGAAGGGCCTGTTGGGGGCGCGGCTGGAGATGCTCTAACACTCCCAAGTCTCCTTCCAGAAAAGCGAATAGGTAAGAGACACTACTCAAACAGAGGTCTTCCAACAAATAGCTACAGGCACATCTAGCTAGCTAGCCTTCTAAAAATATGTAGTTAATGAGGAAATCATCTAGCTAGGCATCTAAAAAAGTCACAGGAAATCTGCAACTGATCCAATGGTGCGGATTGAGTTGGGCTGGGAAGGCAAAAAGATTTGGATGAACCATTGGGACCATAGGCACCAACTCCCTAAATTTGTCCCTCATGGTCTGCCCACATGTCTGTACTATTGTTTATCAACTGATCGCACATAGATTACAACACGTTTGGCCTCATCTTCTAATTTTGCTACTTTCACGTCAATGTTTGGAAGGAAATTACCATGGACTTGTTAAGCTCCATACAATGGCAACTCATGACATGTTTTCTCTAAGGAAAAAGTCGAAAATAAACCTTGAATTTGTAGGTGAAAGCTAAATCAAACCCTAAACTTTGATTCCCAAAAATTGACACTCAGAACTTGTCATCCCGGTCTATTTTGGACCCTATATCTGTTTGGCACACTGGGAATAAGATAATCTCGGCCGGGATAACCTTTACACTCAGGGACAAGAATCCGGGCCGGCCCACTATAACACAACAAGAAATCGTGAACTTCTCAGAAGTTAAAAAATATTCCTGTTTTCTAATTTTCGCAAAAATTCAATTCATTTTGTCTTTTCATTTTTTTATGGAATTTCGAAATTCTATTCACATTTTTAAAAACTGTTTGTGATTTCAAAGAAGAGTTCTCAAAATATGTTCAGAATTTCAACAGTTTTTCACATGCTATGAAAATGTTTCGGATTTCAAAAATTGTGTCACATTTTATAAATAATGTTTTTGGAATTTTGTAAATAATGTTTTCAGAAAATGTTTCGGATTATTGGCTAAGAAATCGACTGGGCCGGCCCACCAGACATGAAAATTTAAAAAACAGGAGCAAATTTCGAAATCTGAACAAATTAAAATAAAATATTTTGGGACATCTAAAAAATATCATAAGTTGTAAAAAAAATGTACGGACCAATTCAAACAAATGTTTATCCAATGTATAATATTTGTGTGATTCAAAAAATGTTTCGTATATTCAAAAAAATGTAACATTTCAATAATGGTCAGGATTTTCGAAAAATGTGTTTGTGACATTTAAAAAAATGTGTGCACAATGTAAAAAATTAGACATGTGTAAAAAAGATAACATAAAAGAAATGAAAAAGAAAAAACAAAGAAAAAGCGGAGCAGTGCGCGCGCGTGAGCGACTGCATCAATGGGCCGTTCCAATTGAGCAAATACCGGCTAAGTCCTCTCAAGATTTAAAATAGACCGGGATAAAAGAGTTTGGTGTGCTGATTTCAGGGATTGAGAGTTCAGGGTTTAATTTAGCTTTCACCTATAAATTCAAGTTTTGTTTTGGACTTTTTCCTTTCTCTAATAAATATTGAAGATATATGACGGGTTAACCATAAAAAATAGAAAGATGAAACGTCTGTAATAACATTTCCACTTTTATATTGTTAAAATAATTGCTCAAAGTATCCATATTTTACTAATGAACATACCAATGTTTAGATTTACA